AAAACAAATCAAAACATGCTTTTAAAACAGTACGGGCATTACCATAAATTTACTTACCTCACTCGCATAAAACCGAGCACTCAATCTCAATGTTAACTGACAAAACGATCAAGAACCTAATCAAAATACCTCAAAATTAATACCGGACTATCACAAATTCAAACTGAAATCATCAAGATCACTCTTAATCCCGATACTAATTCCTATCAATCTCCACATAATCAAATATCTCCAAATTCGTTCTTATATCACAAACTAATCACTTAAATCCCCGTCGATTGTTGGCCCTCGTGGTGTGAACAGTAACCGGTGAACAGTACCCGTGAACAGTAATTCCAACTTCCAAAATTGGCCAAAACACTAGCTAATCACGGGGTTTTCTCTCCAAAAATCACAACAAGCAATTAACACTAAATCACATAAATTCACTTGAATCAAGCTAAATCATGGTCTAATTACTATCAATTTTCTCCCCTAATTAATCCAGAATTTCGGACACAAAGGGCAGCAATTAAATGGCTAAACTTGCACTTAGAGAAGCTGCCACATACCATAATTCTCCAGCTGTAGAAACCGGACCTAGCAGGGGGAAGAAGCCGGCGGCAGTGCAAGGGAGAAACTCACGGATCTACCCAAAATTGAAGGAAATAAGAGCAATCAAAGTTAACCCAAGCCAATTCAAGCAAGAACAAAGGAAATTAGGGGCTGTTCTTACTGAAAAATGCCCAGAAATCACCCACCCACATAGCAGTCGGCGGTGAAGACAAGCAGAGCAAGGCAGATCTGGAATTTCCAGCAAGGGGGAAAGATTTCTGGGTTCCAAATCAGGTTCTTGGACAAGAAAGAAGGAGAAATTCCAAGCTTTCTCACCAATTTTTCAAAGCTGGTGCCGGCGGCTTGGAGGGGGGATTTCGGGAGCTGCAGGGGAGAAAAGAAGAGCAGAAACACGCAAGGCTGGGAAGGAAAGAAAGAAGAAAAAGAACAAGAAAAGAAGCTCATCCTTATCCAAATTCCTTCCACTTTTAAGTCCTCAAGTTTGGACATTTCGGCTCTTAAGCCCAAAACAATATTTTTCTCACACAAAAACCCTTACTTAAATGCTAAAATAGCACAAAATTTTGGGGTATTACAGCCATCTTGGATGGTTTCATGCTATAAAGGCTTTTGGGTAAACGGTTTTTGATTTCACATGGCCTCATGGAAGAAATAAGAGAACAATGACTAGTGGTGTGTGTATCACAGGAACCACAGGAATAAAATCAGATTTGGATTTTTATGGGTTATTGCAAGAAATGATTGAGTTTCAATATGTTGGCTCCAAACATTGATAGGCGATTGGTATGAAATTCCTCCTGCACAAGGAATTGTGGTTGACCGAAAACATCGTCTTGTTGCTATTAATCCAAATAGAAAATTGAGAACTTATAAGCCTTTCATCTTGGCAAGTTAAGCTTAACAGGTGTATTACACTCTATATCCATCACATAATTCTAATAGGAAAGGATGGCTTGTTGCATTGAAATGCAAGGCAAGAAGTATTATTGAGATGCCAGAAGAGCAAGAAGACCAACACAATGAGCCAGAACCCATTTTTCAAGATGATGACTCTCTACCTCCCCAACCGACTGAAATCGATTTGATATTGTATCGACCTATTCAGCATACTGATGAGACTATATCTACCATTAATATCGAATTTGATGATGTGAATGATGACAAAGAGTTTGAGGATGAGGAGGAGAAAGAATTTGAAGATTATTCTACATCTGAGGAAGATAATATTGAATACATTTTTGAGAGTGATAGTAGTGATTAATTAATTAGTAACACATAGGTACTTTTTTATGATTGAGTAGTGCATGTGTGTGGTATTTTATAACACAGTGGATGATATGTATTGTTGATTGATATAAAGGAAAAATTAATTTTGCGATTATTAATTTGTTTAGATATTGTCTTTAAATTTCATGTTTGATTTATTTTTGTTTAAAGTTTAAATCTAATATCTTTTTTTTTTTCATTCATATACTAATGTAGTATTATTTCTTATTTTTTATGCAATGAATTGCTTACTTGGATCATGTAGGGGTGACAAGGCTGTTAATGTTGCCACCCAAAGGCCTACAAAAAAAAAAAATCAATCATAAGCAACTGGATCTTTTAGTACTATTGTTTGAGAGACTTCGATGGAGATATATGATAATGACAGTGACACTGATTCAGGTGCACCCTCACCTCCTCAACCCAAAAAAGGGTGAGGTATTGCCAAAGGGCAAAATTTGCCAGAGGATCCATCCCAGAAGCTGAGCATAGGGAACTAGGATGAGAAAATATTACCTAAACAAGTCCGAAAGGATATTTCAATCATTCTTAAGTCCAATATGCAAAATGCATATACAGGTTAGGGCTTAGTATCGCTTGAGCACAAGGAAGTGTATTGGCAAGATTTTCGAGTTTGTAGTTCTATTGAATAAATTTCAATATATTTTCATTCATATATGTGCATTTTTTTCTGTGAGTCAATTAATACATGAATATATGATACCAGTATTTTTTTTTCAAAATAGATATGAGTGGGACCCTGCTCATGAGAATGCTATTCATACAGCATTTTTACAAGTATGTGAAAAAAGATATAATCGGATGATGACTGATATCCAAGCTTCATGCAGAAAGAAGAATTTTATTGAAAAAAAAAAAACAATACATGCTTGATGAGGTTTGGGAGAAGTTAAACTATAAATGAATGCAGGACTCTTAGTTTAATGCACGTAGAGAGCAAGCAAAGCTAAATTGAGCCAAGGGTCCTAAGGTAACCCACACAGGTGGATCTACGAATTACGATGACTTTGTGAGAAAATTGATAAAAATTTTACTTCTAATTTTTAGATTTCATCTCATAAATGACTATACTAATCTCATTGTTAATTATCATGCTTGTGTAAATTAACACAATAATTAAATATGTGATATTGTAGAAGGAAAAAGATCCAGAACATAGGGATCCATCATTTGTTGATGTGATCCGTGCAAAAAAAATTCACCATCCAAAGGAAAAATATAAAATGCCAACATATATTGATGAGCAAGCTTAGGAGTATACTGTAGGTATTTTTTCTAACGATTATTATTTCTTGAGAGAAACCAATATAAGTTATATTTCTTTCATTTAACTTTATTCATATTGAAAACTCAATTAAAATTAAAGATACCTTATTAACTAGCTAATCGGGCCAACATGAATTCTCTTGTATTTATACAATTTAAGTGAAATCAGATTACATTTTAATTTTTTTGAATATCATACAAGAAAATATATATTGTTGATTGTATTTTTATATTTTGTGTACAGGGAAAAAATACAATTTTTAGGGGAAATTCTGTAAAATTTTTAAAAATTTATAATGAATTGTGAAAATTTTCAGTACTTATAATATGTTATTGATAATTATATTAAGTCTGTAATAAAGATTATGTAATTTGTTTGACAGTTTTTTGTTTTGGTTAATCTTATTTTGGTTGATTGTATTTTTATATTTTGTGTATAAGGTGAAAATACAACTTTTAGGGGAAACTATATCGAATATTTTAAAACTTTATAATGAATTATGAAAATTTTAAGTATTTATAATATGGTATTGATAATTATATTAAGTCTATAAAGAACATTATGTAATTTGTTTGATAGTTTCTTGTTTTAGTTAATCTTGTTTTGATTGATTGTATTTTTATATTTTGTGTACAAGGAAAAAATAAAATTTTTAAGGGAAACTCTATCGAATTTTTTAAAAATTTATAATGAATTGTGAAAATTTTAAGTATTTATAATATAATATTAATAATTATATTAAGTATCTAATCAAGATTAAGTAATTTATTTGACAGTTTCTTGTTTTAATTGATTGTATTTTTATATTTTGTGTATAGGGAGAAATATACAATTTTTAGGGGAAACT